TCTCACTCTGTCGCCAGGCGCCAGGTTGGAGTGCAGTGGTACAATCTCCACCTCCCAGGTTCAAGCAATTCTCCTGCCTCAGCCTCCCATGTAGCTGGACTACAGGTGCATGCCACCAAACCCAGCTAATTTTTTTCTATTTTTAGTAGAGACGGGGTTTCAGCATGTTGACCAGGATGGTCTCGATCTCTTGACCTCATGATCCACCTGCCTCGGCCTCCCAAAGTGCTGGGATTACAGGCTTGAGCCACCGTACCCGGCCTTCTTTTCTTTCTTATAGGGTCTCATTCTGTTACCCAGGCTGGAGTGTGGTAGCATCATCATATCTCACTGCTGCTTTAACCTCCCAGGCTCAAGCAATCCACCCAGCTCAGCCTCCTGAGTAGCTGAGACTACAGGCATGCACCATCATGCCCAGCTAATTAAAAATTTTTTTTTATAGAGACAACATCCTACTCTGTGGCCCAGGCTGGTCTCAAACTCCTGGGCTCAAGCAATTCTCTTGCTTTGTTCTCCCAAAGTGCTGGGATTACAGGTGCAAGCCACCATGTCCGACATTTCTTTCTAAGAGATGGGGTCATGCTGTGTTGCCCAGGCTGGCCTTGAACTCCTGGGCTCAAGCAAGACCCTTCCTCCTCAACCTCCCCAGTAGTTGGGACTACAGGAGTGCACCACCTTGACGAGCTTAGATTTTCAATAAATAGTAGTTGTTTCTACTTGGACAATAGCTTTGTTACTGCAGTCAACTAAACCAAGTCATTCAAGTAGAGTTGAGGTATCTTTTCATGGAGAGACATGTCTTTCCTCCATAGATTCTTCTTGATCTCTTCTTGAGAGGGAACCACTCCTTCAGATTTGTCATTTAGGCTAGTCTGCACCTCTTCCCAACCTTGACAGAGAGTGGAATATTTGGAAAGAGCATAGAGTCTGGAGTCAGCTAGCTTGAAATCCTGACTGTGTGATCTTATACAAGATACTTAACTTTTCAGAGATTCTAGTTTCTTCATCTGTAAAATTTTGAGTACTGCCTAACCCTTGGAGGATTGAATTAAGAAAAATACATAAAGGCAACTGGTAATGCATTGGTATGCACTAAATAAGAGTGTCTCTTCCTTTTTCCATATGCCACATCCTAGCTGTTCTAAGGTTATCAGACTTCTGGAGCGGTTTCTCATTTTACCACCATAGAGAGGCCTCATAGTTTCCCCAATGGTGCACTCTTCTATTTATTCTATTCTGGTGCATGGTAATATCCCTTATTAACTGTCAAACCAGCAGGATTGTGTATGAATAATAATTTTTTATTAGCTTAGTATTGATAACTTACTGTGTGCAAGGCACCACAAGAAATATTAATCACCCTCATGCCTGACTCTTCTCATTGGGCTGACCTACCTACTATTCCCTTTAAGATATCCTTGCCTGTCTATAAAGCCAGACCCAATAGCTAGCAGGCATTGCAGACAATCATGGTGGCTTTTTTTGCCCCTAATTAGTCCTGATTTGATTTTGATTGATTTTTTTTTTTTTTTTTTTTTTTTTTTTTTTTTTTTTTTTTTTTTTTTTGAGACGGAGTTTCGCTCTTGTTGCCCAGGCTGGAGTGCAATGGCACAATCTCGGCTCACCGCAACCTCCGCCTCCTGGGTTCAGGCAATTCTCCTGCCTCAGCCTTCTGAGTAGCTGGGATTACAGGCACGCGCCACCATGCCCAGCTAATTTTTTGTATTTTTAGTAGAGACGGGGTTTCACCGTGTTGACCAGGATGGTCTCGATCTCTCGACCTCGTGATCCACCCGCCTCGGCCTCCCAAAGTGCTGGGATTACAGGCTTGAGCCACCGCGCCCGGCCTGAAATATATCATGTTTGTATTGTTTATGGTATATATTTCTCAGTTTTGTTCTAGAAGCTGTAACTGAATCCACACTCAAATATGGTTGTACTTGGTTCTAGGAAAATATGATATTCATGAATCTGATTCTGCAGAATGGATAAGTGAGATTGTTCATTTCACAATTGGATCATTCATTTTTACCTTTTTCCCTTTTCAGCCACTGCTATAATCTGTGCAAGCTGGCACAGACCAGTGGAGAAGGGGTAGAATATGAAAAAGGAAAAAAAAAAAAAAACAATTAAAAGAACTAATGGTCTGTATACTCGCTCCCAGTTCCCAAGGATAAGGAAAGGGAAAGGGAGTGGTGCTTTCTGCGAAAGCTCTCTAAAGAGTATTGCAAATTCTAGCCTTTAGGAATATCCATGTAGTATGGAGTTGGATAGATAGTTGCTGTTGGTAAGTTGAAACAGCCCCAGTTCATGGGGGAAGGGGAGCATCTGGGCTCCAGTCAAGTAAAAGCTGGACTTCCAGGCAGGAATTGAACCTCAAATTGAGGAACTGGAGTGAAAATCAAGAATCTAGGCCAGGTGCAGTGGCTTATACTTGCAATCCCAGTGCTTTGGGAGGCCAAGGCAGGAAGAATGCTAGAGGTCAGGACCAGTGTAGGCAACTTAGCGAGACCCCTGTGTCTCCAAAAAAACAAACAAACAAAAAAACCACACAAACAAAAAAGGCCAGGTGTGCTGGTGCATGCTTGTAGTCCCAGTTACTTGAGCAGATGAGGTGGGAGGCTCACTTGAGCTCAGGAGTCTGAGGCAAGGCTGCGGTGAGCTATGGTCATGCCACTGCATTCCAGCTTGGACCATAAAGCCAGTCCTTGATTTTAAAAAGAAAAATATAAAGAGTCAAAAGTCCAAAGCAGTAAGCTCAGGCTTCACTTCAGGTCTTCCAGTTTGAGAAGGGCAAGACTTACCTGAACACTAATGTCCCAGGTCTGAAGCCTAGGATAGCTGAATCTATCATTTATTAGGTTGTTTGCCTTTGCTCAGATTCCTCCACAACTAGCAGGACTGAGCTACAGGTAGAAAGACATTAGTGCATGAAGCCCCATGGGGCTTCTATATATAAAAATTATATACTACTTTCCAGGAACATCTCCATTGCTCAAGAAATATTTGTTGGTGATTTGTTGTTCTGATAGTTTATTTTATGTGTCAGCTTGGCTAGATCTTGGCACCCAGATATTTGGTTCAACATTATTCTAGATGTTGCTGTGTAGGTATAAAAAATGAGATTAACATTTAAATCAGTAGATTTTGAGTAAAGCAGATTATCTTCCACAATGTGAGTGGGTCTCATTCAACCCATAGGCCCAAAGTGAAGCCTGAACATACTCACTCCAAATTATCCTTCGAAGCCCGAGTGGGTTTGCTCAGTCTAAAGAAGCAGCCTCCTGCTTTGGGATCCTGATTTTCATTCCAGTTTCTCAATTTGAGGTTCAGTCCTTGCCCTGAAGTCCGGCTTATATGACCTGACCTGCAGACCTTACTAAAGCAAAGATTGACTACCATCCTCCCCCAAGATGGAGGGACTCTGCCAGCAGACTGCCTTCCTCTGGAGCCTCAATAGCAACTCTTTCTTGGGTCTTCATTTATATGTATATGTATAAATCTGTGTACATATTTATACATGCGCATGCACACACACACACACACACACACACACACACACACACACACCACACAATTTCCCCTATTGGTTGCATTTCTCTGGAGAACCCTGACTAATACAATTGTATAATATAAAGTTTACCTGAATTCCACTTCATTGAAGGGCATCGCTTGTTTGTGTTGTGTTCCTTCCAAACTATTCCATTAATAGTATCTCTACCTCCCCACAATCTGCTTCTACAAGAATAATAGAAGAAAGTAGCAGAGCTGGGAAACTTCATATGGAATACATTTAAAAAAATCTACTTTAAAAACCTGCTTTCTTTTGATATCAAAATTTGACCATATTTCTCCTTGCAATTCTATCAAAAAAGAAAAGAAAACTTGAGCATATTCACAAAAATGGGTGGAAAAGTTTTCACTTGACAATGAAATGCTGAACTCTGAAGGATATTTAAAAACATTGTGGACGTATTTGAACTGATTTCACTTGTGAAAATTCTTTCACTTGACCAGGAGGGGAATACATGGATACATAAATGCAAGTGGTAATCTCTCATGATTGGCCAAGCCTTATTTCTGGCACTGCATGCAGCATAATGTTATGTAGTTGCTTTGCATTGTGATTTCTATCAGGACATACATTATTTAATTTGTTAGCCTAATACAGATTAATATTAAAGTTCCTGTGTGGTCTTTGTTTTAAAATGTTTTTGTGTCCATCATATCACTAATGTAGTTATAAGATTGAGAAATGGATTAGTATGAGGTAACCTAAAATATGAGCAACTCTACTGTGAATTTAGGTCAGATACTCTTTTAGTAACTAAACTGCTAAATATTGAAACTCCTTTTTCCCTGTAGGCATTTAAATCTTAGTTTTGGTTGGATATCTTCCTGGTGGCTGAAAGCTAATGACTATGGACATTCCTAAAGCTATTTTCTCAAGTTTCCTGTGTTTTCTTTTCTTTAACTTCTCATTTACTCTTTCCAGCTGTTTGTATTTGATCAGTTGTTTTCTAAATGTTCAATTTCCTTTAACATGTTCAGTAGAAAATTTGGATTTCTTGATAAGAGAATATTGCATTTATAAAAGTTAATGTTTTATTACGTGTGAAATTAAAATTATCCATTACAACCTAATTTTGATTTCACGATAGTATATTGATAATGTTCTTATATGGAATACATTTATAGCCAGCACCTAGAATCACGCTTGAGAAGGGACTTAATAAATACTTCTTTAGTTACTTAATAAAATCCAGTAGCAAACATGCTATGCAGAAGTTGTTCTCTTTCAACAAATGCCATCATGTCGTCCCCATTTTGCCCCATTCACTACTTTAAAAACCATAAAAATATAGTTTTGCTGATTTAGCTCTCAAGTAAAAAATATAAATTCTGAAATAATACCTGAAAAGTAAATAATAATAGTTATGTAGGAGGGTCATTCTAGGTGGATAGGACAGAAATTTTTAACTAGATAACTAGTTAACTGATTTTTTTTTTTAACTGTGAAAAGGCTTTAATGGTGGTGTCTGTATAGCATGGGATGTGGACAGGGAAAACAGCAAGTGCACACACAGTGGGACAGGCCACAGGACAGGCTGGGAGTGAATAAAGAGTTCACATTGATTCCCTGCTTTCCCCAGTGAATGGAGGCCTGAGGCCACCTCTCCCTTGGCCACCTCCTCAAACTCTCCCTTCTCCTTGGCTGTGGGGTCCTGGTACTGCTGGTATTCAGACACCAGGCCATTCATATTGCTTTCAGTCTTGGTGAACTCCACCTCATCCATGCCCTTGCCCATGTACCAGTGCAGGAAGGCCTGGTGCCAGAACATGACCGTGAACTGTTCCAAGATGTGCTTGAACAGCTCCTGGATGGCCTGGCTGTTGCCCATGAAGGTGGCAGACATTTTTAGCCCCTGGTGAGGGATGTTACAGACAGCCCTTTTCACATTGCTGGGCATCCACTCAATAAAGTAGCTGCCGTTCTTGTTTTGGACATTAAGCATTTGCCTGTCCACCTCCCTCATGGACATGCAGACCCTGAACACAGCAGCCACCATCAGGTAGCAGCCATGGTGGGAGTTGCAGGCAGCCATCATGTTCTTGTCAGCAAACATCTGCTGGGTGAGCTCAGGCACTGTCAGTGCCTGGTACTGCTGGCCACCCTGGCTGGTCAGTGGGGCAAAGCCAGGTATGAAGAAGTGCAAGCTGGGGAACGGGAACATGTTCACAGCCAACTTCCACAGGTCAGCATTGAGCTGTCCTGGGAAGTGCAGGCAGGTAGTGACCCCACTCATGGTGGCAGACACCAGGTGGTTGGAATCACAGTAGGTAGGCATGGTCAGCTTTAGGGTTCTGAAGCAGATGTCATAAGAGCTTCATTATCAATGCAGTAGGTCTTGTATGTGTTTTCCACAAGCTGGTAGACTGAGATGGTGGTGTCTGACACCTTGGGTGAGGGTACCACACTGAACGTGTTCATGATCCTGTCTGGGTACTCCTCCCAGATCTTGTTGATGAGAAGGGTACCCATCCTAGACCCAGTCCTCCCACGCAGGGAGTGGGTCAACTGGAAACCCTGCAAGCAGATTACAGATCTCAGCCTCCTTCCTCACAACGTCCAGCACTGACTCTACCAGCTCCGTGCCTTCTGTGTAGTGCCCCTTGGCCCAGTTGTTCCCAGCACTACTCTGACCGAAGATGAAATTGTCCAGCCAGAAGATCTGCCCAAAGGTCCTGGAGCACACGGAGTCCATGGTGCCAGGTTTCAGATCCACGAGCACTGCACGGGGCATGTACTTGTCCCTAGTGGCCTCGTTGTAGTACACATTGATGCATTCCAGCTGCAGGTTGCTGTCCCTGTGGCAGGTGCCCGTGGGGTCGATGGCGTGCTCATCACTGATCACCTCTCAGAACTGGTTGCGCACTGCCTGGCTTGCAGTTGCACAATCTCCCTCGTGACGGTGGCGGTGAGGGCAGTGGGGACACAGGTGGAAGTAGAGAAACAGGTGCACAGAGTCCTCTAGTTAACTGATTTTTAGCTAGATAGGAGAACTTTTTAACTAGATATCATCTTATAATTTTTTAGATTGAAATTTGTGAAACTATTAATTATTTTAAAATTGAATTAAAGAAACAGAGTCCCAGCACTTTGGGAGGCTGAGGCAGTCATAACACCTGAGGTTGGGAGTTTGAGACCAGCCTGACCAACACAGAGAAACCCCGTCTCTACTAAACAACAACAACAAAAAATTAGCTGGTTGTGGTGGCAGGTGCCTGTAATCTCAGCTACTCAGGAGGCTGAGGCAGGAGAATCAGTTGAACCCAGGAGGTGGAGTTGCGGTGAGCCAAGATTGCGCCATCCAGCCTGGGCAACAAGATCGAAACTCAGTTTCAATAAATAAATAAATAAATAAATAAATAAATAAATAAATAAAATAAAAGATAGATTTACAAGACCCTTCCTAGAAATAACCACTAAACTAATACAGATGCATCCTTTTGGAATGAAGTTTATGTATAGTAATTGTATTTGGATACCTTTACAAGATTAATATTCATAAATTAGGAATGGTTTGAAAAATTGTATTGCTGATGTTTTGGTATATCATTTTACAGGTTTACTTCTGTAGATGGGCTTATTCATATGCCTGGTAATAGTTGGCTGGCTATCAGCAGGGGTGGTGGAGGTAACTGGGCTAACTATTACTCATAGTCCAACAGGCTAGTTTGAGCTTCTTCATAGAGTTGGTGCATTCCACTAGCAGTGAGGGAGAGCAAGCTCCAATGCCTAAGTGCTTTTCAAGCCTCTGCTTATGATGTGTTTACTCATGTCACATTGGGCAAAGCAAGTTACACAGTCACTGTGGGAGGCCAAGCTCAGCGTCTGTGTTAAGGGACTGACTACATAAAGGCAATGAATACCGAGAGGTACCATTCAATGGGAACATTATTATAACAGTAATTGCTATAATTTCTAAAAATTTGTATTGTTTTCTCAAAACACTGATAATAAAATCAACTCATAACTGGTCAATTCTGTAAACAAATGAAAACTAGTGATAAATATAACTATTGTTGTTCTCAGACTTAAGATTCTAGCATCACTTAGTCATTTAAAATACTGAGACAGATCATTGCCTTGCTCCAAATCTTTCTATGGTTTCTTTTTTTCTTTTTCTTTTTTTTTTTTTTTTGTTTTGTTTTTGAGATAGAGTCTTTGCTCTGTTGCCTAGGCTGGAATGTAGTTGTGCAATATCCACTTACTGCAGCCCCCACCTCCCGGGTTCAAGCGATGCTGCTGCCTCAGCCTCCCAAGTAGCTGGGATTACAGGCGAGCACCACCAGCCTGGCTATTTTTTGTGTTTTTAGTAGAGACGGGGTTTCACCATATTGCCTAGGCTGGTCTCTAACTCCTGGCCTCAAGTGATCTGCTTGCCTCGGCCTCTCAAGTTGCCGGGACTACAGGTGTGAAACACCACACCCAACCTTTCTGTAGTTTCTTATTGCAATTAGAATAACATCAAAATCTTCTGATATGGTTCACAGATCCTAAATGATTTTGTTTCGATCGACCTTTATGACATGATGCTCTACCTCTCTGCCCGTAATTTATCATTCTTCAGCTATAATAGCTGTTTTTTATTCTTTCAATTCATTGAATTCATTTCCACCTCAGGGCTTTTCATTTGCCCTTCCTTCTCTGAAACGATTTTCCCTCGGATCTTTGCTTGGATAACTTCCTCTCAACATTCAGGGCTCAGTGTAAATTTTACTTCTTAAAAGCAGTTTTTTTTGACCACCCCTTCAGAATTAGTTTCTCCCATCCCAGATCACTCACTATGTATACTACCCACTTACTAAGAACTATTTCCTTGTTTTATTTCTTATGACAGTTATCACTACCTGAAATTATCATGTTATAGTATTTCTTGATTATTATCTTTCCCTACTAGGATATAAGCTTTTTAAAGGCATAACTTTGTCTCTTCTGCACCATCTACAATACATAGTTGGTACTCAATAAATATTTGCAGAATTCACTGCTTAAGTAACTCAAGGCCTGGCATACTGAGTCTTGATCCAGAGATTTTTCACCTATAAGATGAAGAGGTTAGATCATCTTTGAAGTTCTTTCCAACTCAAAAAATTAATACTTTTTATTCATATAATTTTTAAAAATTGACTTTATTTTTTAAAATTAAAATCTATCTATTAAATATCTATCTATCTACCTATTTTTGTATCTATAAATTTACCTGGAGTTAAGGTCTCACTCATTTGCCCAGGTTGGAGGGAAAATGATCAAATGATCCTCCTATCTCAGCCTCCCAAGTAGCTGTGACTACAGGGGCACACCACCATGTCGGCCTATTTTTGTTTTTTGTTTTTAGTATAGACTAGGTCTTGCTATGTGGCCCAAGCTGGATCCGAACGTTAGGGCTCAAGCAATCCTCCCATGTCATCCTCCTGAGTAGCTGGGATTGCAGACATGTGCCACCATGCCTGGCACAACTTGGTTTTTATTTTTATTTTTTAGACAGTGTCTTGCTTTGTTGCCCAGACTGGAGTGCAGTGGCACAATCTTGGCTCACTACAGTCTCTGCCTCCTGAGTTGAAGCAATTCTTCTGCCTTAGCCTCCTGAGTGCCTGGGACTACAGGCACCCTCCACAATGCCTGTCTAAATTTTGTATTTTTAATAGAGACGGGGTTTCACCATGTCGATCAAACTGGTCTCAAACTCCTGGCCTCCAGTGATCCATCCACCTAGGCCTCCCAAAATGCTGGGATTAGGGGTGTGAACCACTGTTCCTGGCCTCAGTTTTTAAATATTAAAGTTGAACATGGAAAAAAGCTGTCAGTAACAAGAAATGTGGGAATAAATTGATATTTTACATGTAACTTTCATGTTGTAAAGAGACTCTTCCATAGTGATTTTCAAATACATAGAGTGTAGGTAGAGATTAGGAATAGGAACGATGATGAAACTTAAACTGAAAAAAAAATAGGTTTTCCTTTTGGCTATGTTTATACCCAAGTATCTGGGATAAAAGTAGTATCATTTTTTAAATTTCTCTTGTTTCACTGAGAAGGCCAGAGCAAGGTGGGCGGTGAGGGGAAGCCCTGTCTTGAGTGGCACCAATATACTAACATTTTCACAAAAATATAGCATAGGCTCTGGAGCTGCCCTGCCCAGGATTGAAGCCCATCTCTGTCTCTTAATACTTGTGAAAGCTTAAGGAAGTTCTGTGACTTCCTGTGCTTTGGATCTCACCTCTGTGAAGCGGGAGCATTAACAGCATTGACCTCACTGGATTGTTTCAAGGACTAAATGAGATAATATTTTTAAACAGCTGAGTACAGTATCTGTCATATCATAGCACTCAATAAATAATAAACTCAACTCATTATTCCCGTTAAGAATAATCAGGGAAATATCAGTAGATGTCAAACCCAAGAACGACAAGTACTGGTTGGTGAGCAGGTTGGGGTGAGGAGTGAGATGGGAGGCCTGGAAGAGTTCAGGACCTTTCTGACACACAAATGAAGCTACAGTTCTAATTAGCAAAGTGTTGACACTGGGCAAGATGAGTGTGGATACTTAAAGAGCAGCCTCTGGCTGGACGTAATTTATAATGTAGGGAAACAGTTGTAAAAAAATTACTAAAAGTGCCAATAAATTACAAATGCCATTGAAATGTAATTTCCTGTTTCTTGAATGTATGAATGTAGGATTTATACCAAAATTCTGTATTTAGGCAGCTACAGTACATAGTGTCTGAATCAAAGAGTTGTGTAAAGTCATTCATGTTGAGTAGACACATCACATTCTGAAACTTTTTAATCGCTGAAATGAAGTGTTTGTTAAGAAGCTTCAAGCACAATCTAATCAGAATGCAGTACAGCTTCATTAATTTGTACTTTGCTAGTTGAGAATCTGAGAATATTTAGATGGAAACTGAGATTTTGCCCTATCTGTGGAAAAATAAAAGCATTGCCAAGAACATCAGCATTATAGACAAGTTGTATCAGGAGTGTATAAAGAACTTAGAAGAATAAATACTGTTGATGTCCTCTTTTAGGTATAGTTCATATGCTAATATAGTTAGTCCATCATACAACATAATTCTTTAGTGATTTGAGCTAATAAATTAAGTCAATAATATTTATTTGTGCAGTCTCAATGTGACAGGCTTTATTTCAGATACTGGGATTCAGTAACAGAATAAGACAGACCTGGTCTTCATGGGGCTTACATTCTAGCAAGAAGATAAATAATGGTTTACATTAACAGGATGACGTTATGATTTGAGAAGTACAAGGTGCTTTGGGAGTATTACAGAAATACCTATTCTAGTCTAAGGTATCAGGAAAGGTCTGGAGAAAAGCAGAAGCTGAGACTTGAAGACTTGTAGAAGTTGTCTAGGAAAAGAGGGCTGGGGAATACTGTCCTTAAACAATATGTGAGAAGACTTGGATACCTTACTTGGCTGATTATCTTTCTGATTAATATAGCACGTCTATTAAGGGTTTCTATGCACTCTTAGCCAATCTAATTTGCATTTTTCTCTATATTTGAAAGTAGTGTAATTGGTTTTTTTCCTTAAAACCATTCTGTGGTTCCAAATCTCCACAAATGTATACAAAGTATTGTTTTATTTTAAAAATGTTTTCAGTTCTAAACTTGATATACTCAGTAAGCAGCTCTTGCTACCTTTTTCTCTTCTGACTGGCCACAACCCTTTACAATTTTCATCTTTTTCTATAGAATATTTGGTACAATATGAAGCCACTGTAATTTATGAGTGGTATTTAGCAAAATCTCTAATGTAAGGACAATAAAATGGCATTTTCTCTACTCAGGAGGCTGAGGAGGAGGGTCACTTGAGGCCAGAAGTTCGAGGTTATGATTTATTTATTTATTTATTTATTTGTTTGTTTATTTATTTATTTATTTATTTTTGAGA